CCCTTATCTTTAACGGAATTTGCTGATACAACAAATAATTCATGTGATTCACAAAATGACATAGATATGCGTTATTATGATGTGTTATAATTTCCATACTTGATCATCAATCACATTATAAAGTTTATAAAATATGGAATTAATATTGTAGTAAAAATTATTATTGTTTTAAAACAAAAATGAATAAATAGAAACATAAAATAGCAACTTTGCTATGTCTACAACATAATCCGGGCTTTATATATTGTTGATGGATAATATCCACAATGATCGGCGTGTGACTATTTGGTCAAAAACCATTTTATCCCCTTCTTCAGAAAATACGAGTCAGAATATAGGACTATATCGCTACTTTGGAAGAAGACCGTCATGTCTCAAAAAAGGGAAAAATGGACTATGTTAGTGAATATATTTGAAATATTCTATAATTTTTGTGTGATAACGTCATAAAGTTAGTTTATGACTATGGCCGCCAGATGGTAGAAGTATCGTTATTGTTAATAAGATAAATATGAAAAGTTGGTTCGACATTTTTCACAATACTGTTCTTTATCGCAAACATAAAGATAATACTTTCTGTGAAGAATAATGCATTATTTTGAACTCTGTCCGTCTTGAAAAAAGGGGAGGTTATGTGTAAAGTGAGTATTCTTTTGTGTTATGTCAGTATTTCAGAAAATTATTAGAACATTCTGAAAAAAAGTAAATCCAGTTGGAATTATTTCAGACTATAAAAATGTCTAAAGAATTTAGGAGTAGACTGATGCTAAAGTTGACTTCTGTCCACAACAATAAAGAGAATGTATTATGGAAAGTTAAAGAATGAATTTTCAAATGAAGACAAGTATTTTTTCCACTATAATTTAATGTAGAATGACATTACTTTTTAGTTTTTACACTAAAACGTATTTGTTCTTATTTTTATGTGACAAATATATATTTGCAAAAAAGAAACAAGTAAAATAATTTTAATAAAGAAGTGAATTATCTCCAAACATTGAACACATTTTTTTAAAGAACGAGACAAACTCAAAAATTGTATGGTTTAAATATAGCTTTTCCAGGCTAGAATACACACCAAAGCCAAATTATTAGCGTCTTCGCAGTTATGGGAAAAGTTTTATGTATTGTTACAAAAGTTCCGTAAGATTTATCCCATATGAAAAAGTCACTTGACAAAAAAGAAGAAGTAGTTCGAGAACGTTCAAAATGGCATCGAAAATTCATGAAAAGTATCTCTCTTTCCTTGCCAAAGAAATGTATAAATTTGGAATGTCAGAAAATCTATATATAAACAGATGTTTTTGACAGTTTAGAACAGTGGTAGTATTTTGAGTTTTAAAGTTTATAGTTGTAATTGTATTCAATATTGTCAACAAGTTGGTGTTCAATAAGGTTAATTTTCTAGACGTATAACAGTATATTTTATATAGATATTTTTAAAATTCATCGATTTTTTAAATGGCCATTGCTGAAAATTGTCACATTTTGACATATGACGGTCTTCTTCAAATATATACTGCATTCGCCCCACGTTTTTCTACTCGGATGATAATCGCTAACGACTTAGTCGTAGTTCTTCGGAGGAACATGACTCTATATGAAATACAAGAAGTTAGTGTCAACCGATTATTATCGTTGAATGATCATCGCTACAGTGGTTTTGAGGAAAACGAACCTTACCCACGGCCTTAAAGGAACTGGATCAACATCGTTATGAATATAGGCTTCTGAAAACGAGATATACTGTGAAAGATAAAAATCACAAAAATATATACACGGGGTTTTTGATGGTCGTATACACCTGGGAATGCACACCCTACCCATCACTACTTTCTTTCTATTATTATGTCATCTTAACCTTTACTAACAACCTTCTGTTACAGTAGCCATGCCAGCGACGCAACCACATCGAGTGAATTCTGATGCACATAAAGACGCCCCACAGTCAAAACAGCCCCTAAGGCATGTCAAAGAACCTACAGTCGCGAAACCTGAGCATTGAGGTCACGTGCGACAAGCGTGAGATCAGTGGCCAGAACTTTCGGGCACGCAACCGGCGAGGAGAATAAAATTTAATTCACCGATTTGCTGAGTGACCGAGCACACACAACTCCGGACATCTGTCCGGAACACACAAGTTTGGGACACTTTGGGGAAGTTCAAAGTCAAGTCAGTAATAAATTCCAATCAGTAGACAGAAAACACTTCTAGGTACCCCTAAAATTAGGTGGCATAAAAACACAGAAGATGTAAGTAAAACAGAGGATGTCCCATTAGCCAGGGCATCCAAAGTAACTTTCAGTACAAAGCCTCCTCATTCGATATGTCCTGCGATGGGGAAGGGTGGTTGGTTATAGCTTGGGGGTCAGATAGGTACCACTCCATTACGGAGTGTGACCGGTTTGATCTTCGGACATGTAGGTCCCACAGATCCATCGGAACACACATGACACTCAGAGCTGTGGTTTGTACAAATTGTGTGTGTGACGGTATTTTGTAAAGGTATATTGTTTTCGGGGTTTAAAAGCCGCGGCCTGAAACGTTTGTTTCTGTAGCTGCGATAAAAAACCAAGGCTATGCTGGAGTAAACGTGACCTCGGATCGTTCCCATTAACCACCGTTGATCTTTCTCGAGCATCTGTGCTATTTATAGCCGTAGTGTTTGATAAATTCCAGAAAGCACACGACCATAATCCTCATACACATAAGGATAATGAACACACGCTTTGATACTGTCTGCCGCAGTTACAGACGAAATATCAAATCCAGAACGGCCATATAGAACTCCAGAAAATATCTGAACACACTGTATTCTCTTCTAATTCGTCACCCTTTTGTATAGTAGGCCAATAATTCCGATACATCAGCCTCCGGGATTTCTTCATCATTTTAAGTTCTGGCTATTATTTTGCTTATTTAGTCAGTGAGACTGTCATCTCTATCTTTAAAAAGTTTTGTTGGTATGCCGTCAATTCACGTTAAAGTTATTCTTTAGGTGTGTGTTATTGCATCCCGACAAAAAGATTTCTTGCTAACATTGGAACGGAAATAAATGAGCTATTAGAAAAGACCGAAAGAAACAGTACAACGACGGGTCTAAAATAAATAGACATAAGAATAATAATCAGGACGATAAACACACCTAATAAAAATCAAAGTCGTTGATCAGAAATCAACAATATCATTGTTGTCGACCAATTTGTGTGTAACGCTATGGCTAAATTAAAGAAAATGGGAAAACTAATGAAATAACCGGTGACACCAAAATCAGATCATCAGAAGCTTGGTTTCCTCAATTTTCTATATATTGACGAATGTTGGACTCTCAAGGAGAAAGATAAAAAGCTCATACATGCGTTCGAGATTAGAGACGAATGTTTGAATTCCCTGGGTGACCCAAAGAACAAATGGGTCAATACTAAGACAGCCAAAGGTTAAAATACTAAGAAAGCAGACAGTGTCTTAAGTGACAGAATAAAAATAATACGCAACTTTGGGACACGTTTTTGGTAGGTTTCTAGAAGATAAACATACAGGGAAATGTCAACGCTAAAGGAGTTAGAGACACACAATATACGCGTACCACATTGATGTAAATATAGTTGTTTCGATGTCAAGGCGTGCGCGAATGGCAGAAGATAGAGAGAACAGTTTAACGGTTAAGAAGAACTGCATTCAGTAGTTCTTATATCGAAGGTGATTAAAACATTTATTATTTCTTGCTCGTTGCAAGTGGAGAGCAGTTTTGTATTTAACACATCTATTTTATATTTATATACAAATTTTCTCAATACATCTTTTCGTTCTTGGTTTGGACTATCCTTGTCTTCTCTTTTTATTTCCATAAATTTATATGCATCGTCCTTTTTTAGTATCGAATCAGCCATTACGTGGTAAAGATCTTTCTGGTCCTAGGATGTTGCATGCTGTTTCTTGAATATTGTTCCATCACATGTTCCACCATTCGCGAGTTATTAGACCCTGATTGATTTCCTTTTGTTAAATATAATTTTGTTACCTTTTCAATATTTGGTAATATTTTAGAAGTTTGTTGTTGTGGCGAATTGTTTTGGCGCCTATTCCTTTCTTGGCAATCGAGATTACTGTACGGATCTTTATCCATTTACTTTATTTACCTCCTCCAATTTGTTTCCTCCAGACTTTTGAAAATTTAAATAAACAATTATATTTCAATACACTTCAAATAACGTTTTCCTATGATATCTAACTCGATTGTTATCCAATGTTTGAGATCTCTGTTCTTAAGCATTCTCCAGATTTAAAAATCCATACGAGTAATGTCTGGCAACCTTGAAGGCCATGGTTCTTTTCCACCTCTACCGATCCATCTAGGTAAATGCTTATTTACTGTGTCATTAACCTTAAATTGTTCCACAAGATGTGTCTCTCGAAAAAAGGATCGGCTGCTCTCACGATAAGGTTTCATCCGCAGAAATCAATGTGCGGCTGAAAGTCCTGCGGATTAAGATCCTGCAGCAAATGCGGACGATAACAGTGCAAACCGATACCTTTTATAGCCCTATAAAGCGTGCGAGATAATATGTCAAGCTTTAAGGATGTTCGTTTGGCGGAGAGGCAAACGATTTCTGTAAATAAACGCACGAAAAAAACAGGTAGTTATCTCGAGGTTGACTAGCTAACTTAAGGCGTGTTGCTAGGTAACGCACGCTGAACGCGGGAAACCATTTTAATTCGCGCATGCATCGTTTTCGAGGACACCATCTGGTCTATGCACTCTCTTGTATAGTAAATTATATTTTTAGCTTAAAATAAAGTTTAATCTCATGTTCTAAACAGGGTTTAGTTATTTTAAGGATTTTAATGAACGTATATTTTATAATATAATATTTATTTCTCAACCACAAATAAATCTCTCAAAACGAAACAGTCAATAAAATTTCACAATTCCAAAAAATATATATTATCTTTTTATTTAACTCTAAAATATATTACAATCAACATTCCATGACGTAACAAACACTTCTAGAATAAACTGGCTTTTTACTACCTAATACGAATAAAATACAAATATTTAAGAAACAATAACTTAGGACCAATTATTTACTAAATTCTGTGTTTCTAAAAATGTTGTTGCATATTACGCCTGAACATTGTGTTTTTGCGTTCGTCGTATTTTGTTCTGAAAGTGATGGAAAAATGGGGGAGACCAATTTGAATCAAGGTATTAGTACAGATTAGAAGGCTAATAAGTGCATATTAAAAACAAATTCGCTCCTTTATTTATTTATATTTTATCTTGAGTTAAACAAAAAAAAATTTTGTTTTTAGTTCTCATGAATTGAACGTTTTCTAGAGGACGTCTAAGTTGACATGTCAAAAAAAAACAAATAATTGTAACGGGATTACTTAAGAAAGCGCCGTTGCAATACAATCAACCACTTTTAATCGAAAATTTAAAATTAAAAAACAAGATGGCTGACATTTGAAAAAGTTTAAAAAATCGATTTTTTACGAATTTTTCCATGGAAAATTATTAATTTTTCGACTATTTTTTCTAAAAAGTAGTTAATTGTCTTGTAAGGGAGCTTTCTTTAAGTAGTCCCGTTGGTATTTTTTGTTTTAGATGTTCCAACCCTGAAAATTTGTGTCAACCATCGGACACCTTTTTTTGAGACATTAACTGAGGCGCCCTTTAAAAAACCCTCCAGCGACCGCTAGAACTAAAAAAATGTTTGTTTAATTCAAAGATAAAATATTATCCAAAAATCTTGTTACATTTTATGATTATTATTTATCTAATAAACGAGCCGATTTTTTTTTTGAAAATATGCATTTTTAGCCTTCTAATCTGTACTAGTATCTTTTACTTTATGGATAAAAAAAACTACTCGGAAACTATTCAAATGAATAAAAAGTGAAGGACAAATGTATGATTGAAACAGTAAAAATACTGGTTAAATATGTTTAAAAGTATCCGAATTGGCGTCCTGGTCGACCTTCCAGCGCAGCAACACTAGAAAATATCGAACTAGTGAAATTAGCCTATTGAATAAACTAAACGTTTCACAGAGGGGAACTATCTTTTAATTCCGAAAACTTGAGTTTACTCAAAACCGAGAAAATTGATAATGACTCGTGTTGTCGTTTCGCAACTTTTCATAAACTATTAAATTAGATATTAAATAGGAATCATTTCTACGTCATACCGACAACTCCATCTAAATATGAGAGGTAAAAAGCAAACAACTGCGATAAACGCAATCCCCACCCACCTTCCAGGTGCGGTTGCATCCTGGCCGTGGTTGAAATTTGTGATCTTCACGAGCGGTAGCGGTAGTGCAAAAATGTTACATTTACAAGTTTACAATTATTTGTTGCTGAACTATTTTTCATATTGAGCCACATTTTTGAACATTTTAATATTGAGAACATTTTGCGTTCGTTTAACAAGTAATAACTTTATCTTCTATTAATAATTGTATTAATTCTTAATTAATTGTAATAATTTCATTATTATTCGTATATTTATCGCTGATTGTATTTTGTACGCTTTTATTAACAAGGTTTATTCATTTCATTATTAATTAATTATTGAGCTTTTATTGATAATTTACTTTATTATTATATGCATTCAGATATTTTCAATGTTTGTATCACATTTATAATATTAATTAGATATTGCTCATATAATTATTTTATGCCGTTTGTTTATACAAGGCAACTACCAAAGTTTCTTACTTCTTTTATTTAACTTGATTTATTTCACTATAATAGCCCACTTGCTTATTTCTTTTATTATTTCATAAAATAAATATTCAATTAAAGGTCAAAACGAGCGTTGTTCTAGACTGAACGTGTATACCCAGACTACCTTTCTGATGTCCTTATATTTATGTTATATCGAGGCCATCGCATAATCAGAAAGCTCATGCAACTATTATAGGGTATGCACCAAATTAAATTCGTTTAGAAGTAGCTCTGGACAACTTAGAAATGGTCCCTAATGTTTAAAATTGACTTAATAAAATAATTACTGGTAAAGTGAGTCGTGGATTTAAGTTATGAAACAAAACAACAGTTTTCACAATGAACGCTATACGAAGGTCCATGTTAATTTGTTTTTTTACTATTGTTATGAATATGTTATGTACTATAACTATAGCCCAAGTTAAATTTAAAAAAAATGCGCTTCCCGCAGTAAGGAGAAAAAATGATCCAATTTTTCGACTTGTTACAAGCAGCAATCGGTTTGCTGCCTTGTGAAACCTTTTGTGAAACATTTTTTACAAAACACAATTTTATATAACTCCGCTGGTCTCGATGCGACGATGGAACTGCAATCCATTACAAAAATTGAATTTGAATAGCCACACAAAAACATTTTACTTTGAGTTCAAGCACTTGTTTTACTCATAATCAACTTTTGCAATCAAACAGCAATTTATTTGGTTTAATCCTTAATATCTGGTAAACTTCTCTAAACTAGTGTAATATTTATGACATTTTTAGAGTTATCTGAGTAAGAAAATAATTGTTACTACAACTATAAGTTATTGTTTGTAATATTTTGTAAGTCATTAAATAAAAAATTAAAATGTATATAGCAAAGCCGATCAAAAACTGTATAAAATATTGTGTACTTTTATGTTACGTTATAAAATGTTTATTATAAAATGATAGGTCTTTTGGTTTTTATCCAGTTTTGTCTGCTAGATTGGCTATTTTAGGAACAATTTTAACGTATGCCTCGACTCCTCTCAAGAATACGTCAGTATTTAAATATTCATCGTTGTCGTGCAACAATACAGGCGTGTTGGAGATCGGCGAAAATCCTATTGCTGGGATTCCCGCGTTCCTAACGTACCGACTGTCGGTACCGCCAGGAAAAACTTGGGTTTTTAGTTTCAAGCCGCTGGAAAATATTAAAAGAAAAACAAAATTGATTGGGTGGCCGGTGAAAAATAGTTTAAAATAATAGAAGGTTAATTAACACAAAAGCTCTGAAATGACTGAAATGAAAACAAAAACTTATAAATTACATAATGGTATGTGAGGAAACACGAATATTCATGGACAATAAATTTCGAGGGGGAAATAACTGGTAGATCGATTTATTTTGTTACTAATGTCAACAATAAAAGCAAAGTTACTTCCACAATATTCATCCCACTTGCCAAACTTTGGAAAACACAATATTTTTTGTTAAATTCATGATCGGTTTGATAGATACATACTCATGTATTAGTCAACATGATGTACGAAAGTGTATTAGTAAATGTAAAAGTAAGAATATATTAAAATTTATTTTTGTAAGGCTCAGATCCCTTATGGTGGGAATAAAAATGAAACAGATCGTACCAACACTCATAAATTAACAGAAGCAAATATCTTCTTCTTCTTCTTCAGATACCCTGTCGACTGAGAACGTTGGCTATTAACATGGCAATTCTGATCTTGCTTACAGCACTTCTGAATAGTTTGATCGATATAAGCCTGAGCCATTTCCGCAGATTATGGAGCCAAAGAGTGTCTTCTCCTGTCTGGCCCTCGCCTGGGGTCTATTTTTCTTTGGATAATCAATTAAAGTAGACGGTACTCATCGTGTCTCAATATGTAGCCTAGATATTCAACTTTTCTTTGTTTAATCGTGCTTACGATTTCTTTTTCATTTCTAATTCTGTGAATTACCTCTATGTTGATGGCGTGTTCGGTTTAAGATATAAGAAGGATGCGTCGGTACACCAACATTTCGAATGCATTTAGTTATGTCATGGGCGTCTCTGTCAGCATCCAGACGAAATTTTAGAGGAAGAGGCTAATCCTTGCCTATGAGGGGCATTTTCATATTGTTAAACGTTGCTCTAGCTCGTTCTATTCTCGGTTTAATTTCTGTAGCCTATTCATATTTTGCATTTACGTTGGTGCTAAAGTATACATAAGAATCTATATGGTCACTTAGTGTGTTGTTTATCCGTAACTGTAGAGCAGGTTGTTGCTTTTTGCTTATCAGCATCCATTTTATCTTATTGAAGTTGAGACTGAGGCCGTAGTACTCACTGAATGTCATATATAACCGTGTCATCGACATATTTTATGTTATTCGTTAACTCACCGTTTATTTTTATGCTCTCTGTTGCAATTTCCAGACATTTTTTAAATATTTCCTCGGAATAAATATTGAAGAGGAGTGGGGATAAGATACGTCCCTATCAAACACCTCTTTTGATCCCCACACTTTCAGTAAGTTCATTGCCTATTTTTGCTCCTGTTGTTTGACCCAGTATAGGTTTGCTACAATCCGAATATCCATGTCGTCAATACCTGAGTTTCGTAGAATATCTATTAGTCATTTATGATGTACATTGTCAGATGCTTTCCCAAATTCCACAAAAAACACCATTACACATCCTTATTAACGTCTCTACATGGCTGTATAAGCACCTGCAGAGCGAAAACCGCTTCTCTAATTCCAAGTTCTTTCCGAAAGCCAAAGTGCGAACATAATTTGACTAACATTTATCCATATATTCTTCTATGAATGATCCTGGCGAACGTTTTACCGATGTTACTGATTAAACTTATAAATCGGTGATTATCACAGAGCTGGCCATTTGGTTTCTTCGGGATTGTAAAAAATGATTGTAAAAAAAACTGCGTCAGTCTTCCGAGATTTTGTCGCTATTATACAGAGTATGCCAAAAGAAACCGAACGGTCGAATATTTCGCGAAATTTACATCGGATCTAAAAATAAAATAAACGCGATAAATATTTTTCAAAAATCTATCGAATGGCAACACACACGACCAATAGGGCCACATTGAAATTTTATATAGAAATCACCATGTTTTATTGGATTTCAGATTCGGATTCTACCTGAAACAGTGCACAAATTTTGAATTTTTTCTATTCGTGATAGATGGCGCTGTAATCTAAAAAAAATAAATACAGAGTCAGAACAGTATGTAGGAAGTTTACAACCTGTATTCTGTATCAGGATAAATAGTTTTTCCGATTACGGTGCCATTTATCAACAATTCGAAAAACTAACCGAATAAAAGTTGCTTATTTTTGCATAATAAATCCAATTCTGCAATAAAATATGGGGGTTCCCATTTAAAATTTCAAAGTTACCCCCCGTCCCACACACAGGAGGTGGATATGGGGATCATCTGTTTGGTGTCATTCGATAATTTTTGAAAAATATTGAATACATATTTTTCAGTTCCTCGATCCAATATAAAATTCGCGAAATATTCGGCCGTCCCGCCTCTTTTGGTACACCCTATGTATGTTGTTAAAAAGTGCAATTAGATTATTCAAGGAATTTGTTGTGTGATTTGCATAGGATCTCTATTACTTAGCAGTGTATATTGTACTGTATATTGTATTTTTTCTATGTAGGATTTCCACGTTTGGTGGATCCTTGATGGCTCCGAAATAAGATTTCCATCGCCATATTTTATGCCGTTAGGTGGCTAAGTAAATGCCTAAGCCAAACAAACCTTTCAGACAGCTGTCAAACGAAGTACAAATTTAAAAAATTGTTACCAGGGAATGTTAACCAGAATTACCGGTTAACATGAATGGGAATAAAAACAGCATTATCCAAGTACCACAAACTATAGTATTTAATAGAAACACAAATAATAAATATAACGAATGTTTTGATGAAGAATGTAAGACAGAGACGGAAAAAGGAAATGAGTTTCGTTGAAAGGAAAAAACTGGGAGACAGAAGAAAAATATGCCGAATAGAGAAAACGAGCCAAAAGATTTATGAGATCAAATAATAGAAGATGACGATGACGTACAAGCGGATTACATATATGGAGAACAAGTGTCAATAGCACAGTAGAAGAAAAAACATACAACTTTAAATATGTAGAACTATTTGTCTGTGAGTGTAAATTATCTAGTACTTTATACAGGACAGACTGAACGGCGACGAACTCATCCCTGACATGGCACGTTCCAATGGCTAATAAGGACCGTTCTACGGATTTATAGAATAATAGAACAGGTGTGAGTAAGTTATAACCAAATAAATATCCTTGAGGCAAATGATAATATGACAGAGGCAGAGCTATGGAATTAGCTGTAGATTTCTTAATTGAACATTCAGAACCACTCATACATACATAAGCGCACAAACACAAATGCACACCAAGACCTCCGTCTGCAAATCACCAGACAGCCGCACCACAACTGATGCATCATATAGTGAGATTTGCGCTACGACTAATGCGCTCCCGAATCTCGATGTATAACACCATCATGCCCAAGGGATGCACGTTACAAGGGGGAAAATGTTGACTAAACAATGCCCCAGAGAGCTGGCGAACTCTGTGGGATTATACCCTTTGCACATAGATTTTTATTTAATTATGAAAAATTCCTACAAGTTATTTCCCTTATCAGTGACTGATTGTATCATATTTTACATTTTATTTACAAGTTTTTATTACTTGTTCCAAATAAACCCAAAAAGTGATCTTTTTTCAATAAAAAAATCCTTGAAGGGATTATGTACATAATTAAAGCATAAATACATAAGAGATATTAGTTTTTATGATTATGTCATTAGCACACTTGATCTTACCACATAATATACATTATAGTGATGAACCTATTGTTAGATGTTTTATGAAATAAATATTAATTTATAAGCTATATAATAATAATACGTAATGGTAAACATATCCTAGCATTACTTATCAAAATGTTTTTATAGCGGCTATATACAGGATTGAAATATTTCATTTCAGTATGTACATTACTAATTAAAACGAACCAAAATAAGGTAAAAGCGCAGCACACACTAGGGCAGGAAGTTTATGTGGAAGTAAACAAGTGGGTAATGAACAGGGAGTTTACAAGTGGACAAAACAATTACTACTGCTACTACTACTATCGGTTTACAGCGTTCTCCGACGCCTTCCGATTCCTAACCGCCATTCTTCTCCATTTAACCATAGACCTGGAAAGATTTCTCTTTCCTCTAGTTCTTTTTCAATTCCCTCTTTCCAGCTTCTTCTCGGCCTTCCTCTTTTCCTTCTCCCTTGTGGTGTCCAGGTCAAAATCTGTTTCGGAATCCTGTCATCTGGCATTCTCTGTACACGGCCGTACCATATTAACTGTTTTGTTTGTATGTCATCAACTATTGTATGCTTGACTCCCATCAATTATCGTCTCATTTGGTATCCGATCTCTTCTTGATTTGCCTACCGCTCTTCTCCAGAAGTGCATATCTGTTGCTAGTAACAGTTTCTGTGTTTTTTGTTCCATTGGCCAAACTTCACTGCCATATGTGATTACACTTTTAAGTATGGTATTGTATGAGTTGTTTGTTCGCTTTAGATATTGTTTGGTCCCACATAATGATGTTCATCATGGATATGGCTTTTCAACCCTGTATGTTTCTGTCTTGTATAGGAGCATCGAGTGTTCCATCTAGAGTTATCTTCATACCCAGGTAATGGTATTCATCACAGTGTCTAATTTCTACCCCATCGTCTAATATAATAGACTGCTTTGTCCCTCCAATACACATAGTTTTCTTTATGTTGACTTCGAGACCCCATTTGTTATATTCTTCTATTAGTTTCCGAGTCATGTAACTTAAGTCGTCATGATCCTGAGCAATCAGTATTTGGTCATCAGCGAAACATAAGTTTGTTTCGCTTATGTTTCGGACAAAACAATTACAGTATATTATTAAAATCATTGAATAGTGAAACAGAACCATATTAACCTATTTATTATGAGAAAAATAACTGGGAAATGTGTTTAATCCTTCGGTGGGCGCCTTTCAAATTTCCAGGAGTGGGCGCCTTGCAGTTTTTTATTTTTTTCTTATTGTCTTTGGATAATTCATTCATTTTTGCAAATTAATTTGCTGAACATTGCATATTAATTTTTATTTTAAGTGAATAGTTGTATGAATTTTGTCTGCATGTTTTTCGTTCGTATCATGGACGATCCAATATTAAACATACGGCTCTTCAAAGAGTTGCTTTTCAAGTAAGGGTTACAACAAAACAGATTCTGAGGAATTTTAAGTGGAGGGGACAAAACACGCACATCGAAGAAAAAAAAAAGAATTTTGAAAAACCAAATTGGAAGAATTAAACCAACATAACGAAACGAGAAAGTTCTATAGGATCTTAAGTATCATAAGAATTAATTTATATATTGCTAGCACGTGCGATGCAATATTAAACATATGGATTGAACAAGTCTAAGATGGGTCTGCTCCAATTTCAATTAACAACATCCCCATATAATCCTCTTGGGTGATAGAAGTTCGGAATGCAATTAAACTTCGTAAGAACAAAATATTTATATACTAAATCTACAATATCATCAAAAGCTGAAACGAAAAACAAATGCCAGGGGAATGGTACACTGACAATATCTTTCCACTGCATAAAAAACGAGATCTATTAGAGTATATACATTACAGAGGTATAACTTTCTTGAACACAGTGTACTTAGTACATACGTGAAAGAACTTCTTGGTAAATACCAAAGTGAATCTAGACCAAGTTAGATCTGCAATAGGTACATCAAACTTACATGCTACATAAAATATTAGAAAAAAAATCCAACGAATTCAATATTGATATATTCCAGCTTTTTGAAGATTTTAAATAATTGTATGACGGTGTTTAAGATATAGACTCTATGAATAAATCTAGATTTTACATGCATAAGGTGATCTATAAAAAAAGATAAGGCGATTGGACCAGATGGTATAAATGCGGAAATCTTTAAGCTATTTGACATTAAACCATTATGCAAAATGTTTAACAACATATACAACACCGGGCAAATATCAAAGGTTGCAATAGTCGCTGCAAATTAGCTTAATGAGTCAAGCATTAAAGGAGTTCCTAAAAATAATACATAAGGGAATTTATAACAAATGTGAAGAAAGTACAAGAGACACTCAATTTGGTTTCAAAACTGGCTTGGGAACAAGAGAGGCCCTTTTTTGCATTAAGTTGCTGGTGCCGAAAGCTATGATCAAAGAAAAGATGCCAAGATTACCAAAAGGCCTTTGACAACGTCAGACATAAACTATTGATACATACATTAAATGAAATTGGGCTCAATGACAAAGACATGAGAATGATTCAATAACTATATTGGAATCAAAAAAGCGATACTAATAATCCATAACAGCCTATAAACAGAAAAAATGGAGTTAAGGAAAGGCGTAAGACAGGGTTGTATTCCCTACGCACTACTGTTCAACATTTATGTAAATCGATATTTCAACTTGCACAACAGAACGAAAAAGAGCTGCAAGATTTAGTGCATATCATAGAGTGGTAGAGTTAGTAAATTTTACAAATACCTCCTTCGCCGTGAAGTTCCTTTATTCCGGATCTTGAAATGTTAGATTTGATCCATCCTGATGTACGAAAGTGAGACTTGGTCTCTTAAAGTGAAATCTCTTCGTGAGGGGGCTTTTGAAATGGTGCCTCAGAAGGATGCTTAGAATTTCATAGGAGAACGATTTAACAAATGTTGAGTGATAAGAAGACCTAATGTCCAAAGAGAATTGTTAGATCTCATTAAGCAACGAAAGCTTTCATACTTGATGATTATAGTTGAAGGTCTAAGAGGTCCTGGGCGAAAGCAACATTTACGGTCCAGAGACATAAGAAACTGGTGCGGCATGTCTGATGTCAGTACGATAATGAAAAGAGTGAAAGAAGGATCTTTGTTCATTCGACAACCAGCATGAACGGCTACACGCTACATTTGCGAAATCCTTTGAAGCAAGCGTGGGGTTATGACAGGAAGACCTATTTCGGACCAACCGAAAATTTAAAGACGGCTACTTTAAAAATATACCAATGGTATTAAGGCACAATGATTGGTTGTAATGAAAATCACACTTTCAACTAATGTTTGACGTTTCGATTTCCACTCTGGAAATCGTTTTCAAAAAAGATTATTATAAATTCTGAAAAATGTATAATCAAAGTATTTGTTATCTCATTTCTAAATTGAGATGCTTGACCTCGATCTTGTACACAAACAGCATGTAATGGCTTAACAAAATTTGAGGGTGGTGTTTTTACCCTAGTCAAGTATTGACTTAAGCTACGCACTTCGTCTCAGATTCGTCACTAGCCACCCCTATAGAGTATATTTACATACGCTCATCCACTCGTACATATTTTACCAGCCACCCATCCAGAGTATATTTACATATACTCATCCACTCATTTGGAGAAATCAGCTTGGGTTATTCCAATCAGCCTTCCATCTTCGTTGATTTTTTGTAGAGCCGAGGGGGTTAAACCCTATGCGGACCCGCTTTTTGTGGGACCAACTGTTGGAACAGATAAGCTTTTGCTAATTTTTAAATTCATATAAATACCTGTAAATCGTTTAATATCTTTTTCTACTCGCTTACTAGTAAATTGTATATTACCTACTATTTGGATGCTAAGTAAATGCATCATAACAGATACTGACACGTAATGACTAGCACGTAATAAAAAAAATTACGCTTCAGTTTTATAAAAATGTGTAATATCACATAAGCCTTGTAAGTCAATTGGTCGAGTTACCATGGAAACGAATTAACAGACGTTATTTTGACAGATTAAAAATTATTAATCTGTCAGTGTAAATATAGTGGTAATTTAATTTTTATTTTTATAAACGAATATAATGGTAGAAAAAGTATAGTACACAACTTGAGTTGTAAGCTTATTACATGCTTGTAAAATTACTGCGCTCGCCGCTACTCGGCTCGCGCGCAACTTTTTTACTCGCATGTAATAAGGTTCTTACAACTCTCGTTATGTAATATACTGTTAAATTGTTACTTGTTTTGATTCAAAATCAGCTTTTGATTATATGCTTATATGCAGATAATCAAGTCAACTTACTAGTTCTTTTTTTATAAATAGGGAAGGGGTAATTAAAGTTTATACAGGTTGTTAAATAAGGGAGGGAACATTTAACGCGGTTTTTAAATAGATTTTTATAAAAATTTTCTGACCCGACTAATTCTATATTTTATATAATTATCTTAATTATATTAATTGGTATCTAGTTGCTATTCGGACACATATTAGTCCTATCGGTGATAACCTAATCCCTTTGGGTCTTCTAGGTAAGGTATTCATTTATTGTTAATTTATATCACCAATGCTGGATGGATAGAAGATCAACACTACCGTACAACTGTCTATGAAGCCTTCACCACTGAAGATGTGTGTAATATCATCAAAGAGCTTCATAACTGGAAATCTCCTGGACCAGACAGAGTTTAAAACTTCTGGCTTAAGGAGTTTTAGAGTACTCATGAGTGCTTGTAAATACTAATTAATCGTGTTATTTCTAATCCACACGAATACTATCATTCCTAACTCAGGGAACAACTTATTTAATGCTGAAGGATCAAAATAATATCCAAGATCCAGCTACCGCCAAATTACTTATCTTCCAACTCTGTATAAATTGGTCACATCCTGTGACCTCATTCCTCATTTATAAATTCTCAAGCTAGTCTTGAGTGACACCAACATTCAGTGCCTTAGTCAAGTTCGTATAATATAACAAGTCCTTATAATGCCTTCAATATAAGATTAAATTCCAAGTTGACCTATCTAATTTCATTGTTTGTGTTATAAAGTCTCATTTTCTCCCTTGTTTATATAATTTTATTATCCCATATATTGGTCTTTTATCCCAAAGCCAATCCTAAGTGTAGAAAAGCTAGTTCGAATTCTCCCTTGAGATTTGGTGTCTCTCTGGCCCTTTAGATTGATTTCTCTGATCTAAGCCAGTCCTTATTAGTACATTCAATAATTTTACTTCCAATACTCCTTCTTGTAAATTCTTATTCCTAAATTACAATAACCCAGAGTATTGAGGTTTCAATAGGTTTGTACAAATAATTATGGCTTAATCCCATATAAGCATATTTAAATTAGACAACCCACAAGAAAGTACTTTCAGAACCCGAGATATAATCAACCATCAACCTTACAATGAAAGGTCTAAGAATACCTGATGCAACATGTGAAAACAGCGTCTGAGAAAGCGATTCAATTTGAGTTCTTAAAGTGATAGCAGATAACAAGGATGTAAGATAAGAGAAAAAGGAATAGAAATAGACCCAAACTGAATATGGTGTAAATGAGATGAGAAAATTAAACAGTGAAGTTCTTTATAAAAAAGAGTGTCAACTTAATTTTGCTTGTAACCTTCATGTCAAAGCAGCAACTCTTTAGGATTTCCTACTGAATGCGTTTGCCGATGGGAAAGAGTTGTCTACCACCTTTCTTCTTGTTTCATCTATGGCTAATAACTATATTAGCTCAGAATAAAGTTATTACCAATTTTAATTCAACTGGATATAAAACAAGAAATGAAGTTCAAACTAAACCAAATATTTTAAATGAACAGCAGTACTGTGTATAAATTTCCTGTTTGTTTATCTTTTACACATTTTTTCCGCATTTGAGTAAATTGAACTGATCACAATATTTATTTTACTGACCACGTTCGAGGTCTATGTAAATACTAGAAATACCTTTACCATTACATGTCAAACCACGAACAATACTAAACCAGCACATCAATCAATGCATTATAATTCAAAATACTCACAGTTCATCAGCGGCTGACTTGAATGCTATCCAATAGGAATTGGAATTATCAACTTTTGTAGGTGTAACCAAATGCTGTTTTTGTTCGAATTCAATATAAACTCCCTGTCCTGCTTCACTACACCATTTATTTAGCATTTCTTCGAACTTCCTTAAACATGTTGTGATTGATATGCGAGCATCAACTGTTAGAATGTATTCGGGAGGGATTACGTTTGGTTGAACACCACCCTAAAAATGAAACATTTACAGAATGATTTTTTTTTTGAAGAATATTAAAGCTACCAATTTCATAACGAAACAAAAAAGTAGACTTTTAATAAAAGTATACTTTAAATTAAAGTGCCTTTTAAGTATCCGCAATAAATTCAAATTATCTGTAATAATTTTGTATAGTAGATAACATATTTTTCTTATCGTGCCTATGGCTATTTTGACTTTGTTGACATTTTTCTAGATTATGGAGATAGGATATTCTTTTTCTTCCCGAACCTCTTTTTCCATGTCCTTGTTGTTTAGGTCCTTTAATGACGTGTCCAAAGTATTCAACCTTTCTTGTTTTCTGGGTGCTATTTATTTCTTCATTCCCTGGTTTACATTCGATACTTTGTCAATCTATATTTTTAACACACGGCGGTAAGATTCGCGGAAAATAGATTCATTGTATAGAGTAAATACAAGATTAGGAAAAATACACTGTTCCTCAAGTCACGTAAGTTTTCTACTTCCCCAGAGAGGTCATAACCTACTTTAACTTTTGCTGTCTGCTTCTAATATATCTCAGCTGTCAATGTTAATGCCTGTGAGTATATCTATAAGTTTGTGGTATTGAACTGTATCAAATGCTTTTTCGAAGTTTATAAAGCATACATATAGTTCCTGATTCACATCCAAACACTTTGCGCCAATACATTAATACCAAACAACCGCTCTCTAAATGCATCTTCTAAACCCTACTTGATTCTCGCTGATTTCAGAGTCTACTTTCTCAAATATTCTGTAAATTTAGAACCGGACTGGCTCAAAAAAGACGCCAACCTAAATTTCTAAACGAAAGGTGCCTGGCCCCTTTCCTAAGCTTTTTAAAACATTTTTTTTTTGAAATCCTAATGCATGTAAAGTAAATCAATATTATTTGTGAATTTTTTTAAGTTTAATTTTATCCATAAACTTTAATATCAGTAAAGGCGATGAGTTTCTCACTGTCCCTTAAATTTGAGAAAAACATGGTGATTGGTAGTCAATAGAACTTTCTTTCTGAATTTATTTAGATTTTTATATAAATACTTTCGAAAATGAGAGAATTTGTGATTTTATATATCAATCTACTCTTTTAAAAATCTGAAAAAAATATCATGCTAATTGGCGGTTAGAATAACTCCCTTTCTGAATTCTCAATAATTTTAATTGACCACCTCTTCTTCAATATCGTTTTAACTTGCTTTACATGCTTCTAGAACTAATTTAATTATATGCATAACTTTGCTTATGTGCGCTACTAAATTTTTATCGAAGATATGTTACAGCAATGCTATTTTAAAAAGTTTCCATGATTTACTATAGGATCGTCAAAACTCTAAGCACAGCTTGTTCCTTTATTGCAAGACGTGTTATGCTATCAACCTCAAATCACAGACCACAATCACAGAACGAAGTAGGTTGGCATCACACGCAACCTACTTAGTTCGCATGTGTACTTCTTTTTTCCTTTTCAGTGATTTTTTTCAAAGAGCCTACAGTCAACAAATATTTCCTCGATATAAGAAATATACGTGTTTACGTGATCTTTATGAGCATTTTCATGCTCAGTTACTATTTGAATTAAATGTCTAATCCGGTTAAAACCTTGGCAAATAATAATTGATGAACCCTCAGAAAATTACAAACAAATACTGCAGTACAGCTTTTTTTTACTTTGTAAGTAAGCCAGTGGCGACTTAATTTTTGACCATTTGCCAAATAAACAAAAAACACTTTCACAAAAAAAGGGAATATATCATTAGTGGATTCGCTTTAAATAGGATGGAATTAAAAAAAAGTCATTTGTCTGACACAAGGTTTTTTGAAGTAATTTTGGGAATTCCGCTCACCAACAAGTATTTCTTCTGTTTTGCCTTCACCTGCATGCCATCCTCCTTGCCGAATATCCGGATTCTTTCTTTAGTTTTCTTATATCTAACATATGTTTCCTATTTGGCTTTTATTTTGTTCAGGGATAATTTGACACTGGACACCACCGGGTTATGGTCAGAACCATAGAGTATCACTAATTAAAATGAAATCTATTTGATTTCGGATGCATCCATCCTATGGCTCTACAGCCCAATTCGAGCCCTGGCCCCCTCAGGAAACTTGAGGCCTGCACTATTACATTCAACAATTTTTTTGGAAGCCTGATTTCTTCTGTTCTAAATATATCGCCTGTCCATTGAAGACACTGTAGGCGGACCTACTGAGATAAAGTTGGTTCTTTATATATACTATATATTTCATAATATATATTTTACAGACTTAACAGACTTCTTATATCTATCACTAATTAGAATAAAATCTATTTGGTTTCGAATTACGCTATTCTTATTATGTGTTAGAGATAGTAAGTTTTTTACTTTGACAAAATTCTAAAAGCCTGTCATCTCGTTCGTTTCTCAATTCCAAACCGAATTTTCCAGCACATCCACTACTTCACCTTCACCAACTTTAGCGTTGAAATCACCTATGACGAGATTAATTTCCTGGATTTTCGTAGTTCTGATTCTGATCGTACTTTCTGTAGTGTCTAGCTCCCTATAAAATTCTCAATTTGGTCATTACTTTTGTCTCCTGTTTTGGAGCATAAATTTGATTAATGTTGAGACAAACTGGCTTTGCTTCAAGTTTCAGGGCCATTACGCGATCTGACAGGGGCAAAAAGTTGACCACAGAGTTTTAGACTAATTCTTCTATGATAAAACCCACACCGTAACGGTGTGATGGGTCGTTGTTGCCGAAAAAGCATAACATTCCGGTACTAGTGAGTAGCTTGGACATTGGACATCACTGAGACCCAATATATTAAATTGGTAGTTTGTACTTTTATTCCCCTCCACAACTTGACCGCATATTCTTATCTGTAAAAGGCATAAACTGTCCTTATTTGTAAAACAGTAAAGGTTATGCAAGTCTCGAAAAAGTGTGGTGGTTGTGTTAATACGTTAATGATATTAATATTAATGGCATACGCCAGTTTTCTGGCGTAGTATATAATTCTAAAAATTTCCGACTCATATAGGATTCAAACCCGGGTCTACTCGAACGAGTAAACGCTTAAATTAAACTAATATTAATAATTCTAATGTATTTTTTTAAAAAGAGTATAAAAGATAAGTAACAAGCATTATTTCTAAAAAAAAGTAAAACATTACCTGGACTTGGGTTAAATTGACAGTTGTTACATCTCCAATAGTAAAATTGGGATTTTCTTTCAATTTTTGTTGTTGTGTTTTCCTAAATTCATACAATTTATTTAACACATATGCAACTTTTTCCCCAGCGGTGTTTTCCAGCAATAAAGACCCATGTCCTGGATGTCCGGGACAATGAATATGCATTTCTAAAAAAAAAAAACGAAATTAGATTACTTTATAATTTGTTATATTCCTTCACTCATAAATTAATATTTTTCATACAAAGGTCGCGGCATATTATCATGCACGAATAGTTTCCGGCAGGTAGCGATTCCAGGCCAGCAATCGGACTGTGCGTTCACAATTTCATACATAGAACGTTTCAGTTTGGGGCGATGAAGATATGTTCTCGCTTTTCCAAATATTTTCTTTTTTATTTGCATCATAATAGCATTTATCATTGTATTTATATAAAATTTCTGTACCGCGTACCAGTCCAATTAATTTTTCGATTTTTTAAATACCCTGTATCAAAATTAAACAAATAATGTTAAAAAAAAGAAAAAAATGTTAAAAAAAAGAAAAAAAAAAACACATTAAAACCTTAACCAAACAATATAACCAAACCTCTTAATGTCTTTTATACTGTCTTTCTTTTATACTGAAAACTTTTTTAAATTTTGATAAAAAAATTTGAGAAGCGAAACTTCTATACTGGTGTGGTATGTCAACTTACAAAGTTAAATACTTACGCCAAATGATCCTTTCTGCATAAAAAACGGGATATTCATTATTAGGGCTTGCCATACCCTCGTCTAAAGCAAATCCTATGTTTAAATTTTTGAAGTCATTAGTTTTGACAAATGCCTTCATTCCATCGACACCTCCAGTTTCCTCATCTAAAAGTAATCTGTTATTAAATTGTTTTAATTAATATGAAAAAATAATTTAATAGAAAATACCGGAATGTATTCTAATCAGAAAAATTCAAAATAAAATATTTTCTCCTTTTTATTTTCATCCTTTTCAACAACACACATGTACAATGGACGTATTTAAATTGGCGTTCATTTTCTAATATTTATCTGACTTTAACAATAGTTTAAAATTGACATGTATTAAACCCGAAACAATCTCTGAGAATGGCTGAGAAAAATGTGCAAATCGTTTGCACTTGAGGCTTTTGATTCAATTGAACTTAAAACAATATTGAGGATAGGACTAAAACAAAGCCGAGTGAACACACATACATATTAAACATTTAGGTATGAAAACTGTAGTTAGGTCGATATGGAATATAGTAAGAGCCAAATTGTTCACGGTAGCTATAGAGTTATTAATAATTAAGAACACTTAATGAAGAGAAACGGGCATAAGTTCAGATGGATAAAGATTAAATCATCTAATATTATAATACATATAGACAACTTCCAAATGATGTAATATGTCCACATACAACGTTAAGAGAAAATGATGTATAAAACATCAACTTTAGGAGAAAATGAAAACCTGTAATAAGTGAAAACGTCAAAAATCATATTGACACCATATAAAAGTACACACTAAAAAAATTCGTAGTATTGCATCTTTTGCATAGCAGATTATTTTAAGTTGTTTTTCTCCCATTTGGTATCCTATTTAAGTTCTCACTTTTTGTATTATTTCATCCATAATCAGGTTGAACACTGATCATTTCACCAAGTAAACCATATAATTACAAAATACATTAGAACGAACGTCCATTAGATCTAAGACGCCTTTTCTCATGGCATTTAATTACTATAGCTGATATAGAGTTAAGTTATCGTGAAAGAGGCTTGAGGTTAAAGGTATCGCATACAACAATATCAAGGGTCTTTCAGGTTTTCGAGAAACAAAACAACATACGGGACGGTCTGGAAAAGGAAGAGGAGGAGTTTGTTACAACACCACATCAAGATCAGTTTATCAGGCTTCGTGCTATAAGAGAACGTTTTCTCACAATGAGATATTTACAAATACAAGTGGCAGATGTTCATATTCAAATTAGTAAAAACACTATACAAAGACGCAAAGAAACCTGGACTTTAACAAAAAGCAATGAAAACATGTTAGGATGTTTCGAAAGAAAAATACTGAGGCGAATCTATGGAGCGGTAAATGAAAATGGTGTCTGGAGAAGACTATACAACTTCGAACTCTATAGAATATACCAGGAACCAGATATCGTAAAACACATTAAGATAGGACGTCTGAGGTGGGTAGGCCATGTAATGCGGATGGAGCAAACCGACCCAGCTAGAAAAACGCTCAGACCTATTGGTCAAAGAAGAAGAGGAAGACCCAGAACAAGATTCCTAGATAACATAGACCAAGATATGAAAAATATGGAAATACGTGCTTGGCGGAGGAAGGCGATGGATAGGGACGACTGGAAGAGAATTCTTGGGGAGGCTAGGACCCACACAAGGTTGTAAAGCCAAAATGATGATGATGTATATACAGCACAAGTATTGGTAAGACTTTGTATAACCTTAATTTGCTATAATCTGTATCACCCTTTTACTACACATCCTAATTTATTTGAACCAGCCCTATGTAATACAGTCCTCATACACTGAAATTATAGTCATAATTTCACATACGTACACCCTTTGTATACAGAAGTTATTAAAAATAGAGGCGGAAATATCCGTTTTTTGGCGGAAAGTGTTTTTGGGAGAGGGAACTTGTTAAAGATTATTTAAGTTATGGGTTCTTAGGGTTTAAATGTTTTAAATCTGACTTAAGTTTATGTAACTAGTATTTTCTTTGCTTTAAATGCCCCCAAAAACTTGTTCCATTTAAAACGTTTGTATAATCTTTGATAATAGAGATATCAAGACTATTTTTAAAAAAAATGTTGAGAAAAGATGGAGCTATCTCGCATTATTAATAAAATAATATTTGTTTCAAATAAATTCCACAAGGTGTTTCAAAATAATATGAGGAAACACAACTTTATTTCTATACCCCATATATGGATCCAACGTTTTTTTATGAGGGGGGGGGGGTGATCCAAATGTTCAACATACCTCAGTTCTAGAAGGGGGCAGAACCGCCTTCCAGCCTCGGTTATGCAGGACTCCTCCAGCGTGGCCACGATGATATCCGAGGCCGCTCGCTCGGGTTGTTCGGACACCATCGCCGTCAATGCCAGAGACCTACCTGCTAAAAAAAACACACTACTTAGCGGTGAATTACCGGCCGGATCGCCCTGATTGGGACGCACCATCGGCACGGCATTCACCCGAACTTTCATTCACGCACAATTCTCACGCATTCTAGCACTTTCTCACTACGACGGAATTCTTCTCTCCCTCTATTCCTCCCTATTCATGTTAAATCTCGCTCATTCAGCCTTATCTTCTTGCTTGGTCCTGGGCACCCTGCCTATTTTCGGGTCGCCTTTCTTCTTGTTCCTTTCTTTCCAATGTTTTTCTCACATATCTCTGAACTGCTCTCCACCGATCTGACGACCTAAGCATCTTCTCCACCAATTCTGTGACTGATTGCACCCTACCTCCTAGTTCTCTCTCAAGCAGGCTCCTCTCAACTATCCATCTATCGCATACCAATAGAGTGTGTGAGACAGTGTCCGATATTTCACAAAATAGGCATTTGTCATTTTCTGCCTTTCCAAATCTGTAAAGGTATCTTCTGAAGCAACCATGTCCTGTGAGCATTTGCGTCAGGAAATAATTCAAACGCCGGTGCCCGCAATCCATCCATCTTCTCAGGTTAGGAATCAACGACTTCGTCCACTACGCCACCCTTCTCATCTCATCCCATTCCTCTTGCCACACCATTATGGACCTTTCCCTTTCTTCTTTTTTAGACATTCTGTTGCTATGTCTTCATTTCTACTCTCGTATATTTTTCTTTTTTCCTTCACTAGCACGTGCATTGGAATACACCCAGTGATAACTCCTTACGCCTCTGAAGAGACTGTTCTGTATGCACACGCCACCCTAATCTCTTCCCTAAGACTCTTCCTATCTGCTCGGGTGAGCTGTTTTCTGTACGCCTTTGTTAAAACTGCAGAACTCCAGACCGGCGCAGAGTAGAGGACTATCGATTGCACGACAGAATGAAGGGACCTCCTCCTCTCAGTTTTGGATTCAATCACTGTGTCTATTCGCCCTCTGAAGAGCCTCTCGTATAATTTACATATGCACGAGAGAAGGCAAACAGGTCGATACTTGTCTGGATCAAACGTTGACATTTCTCAGAAACCATTGAGTAAGTCCATACAGTAAGTCCTTAGAAATAGACCCATATGAGAAAAAAATCATCGAAATTAAATCAACGCACAGATCAAAAGAAAAATAGCTTCCAACTTATGATACATTTAAGGTGGCGCGTTAATTTTTGAGAGTAGTGTATGTGTTAACTATTCTTTATTGCGCGTTCACACGCATTTTACCATATCGATTGTCTCATTGAAGACTATAAAACTCTTATTAGGATATATCTCCTATTCACGTCATTCTAGTTTAGTAGGATGTTTTTCTATGCCTGTTTGCTTAATATGATTCTGAACTATTTTCTTGTGGCATGATTTACATTAACTAATATATCCTTTGTTAGTAAACCACAATAATTGTAAATATATTTTTGACGTTTCAACTTACGACTTTAGCCTTAAGTGGCTTCCACAACGGCGCACAGCACATCGCACCGCACCCAGCCTTGACCAAAGGCACGCTGAAGCAAAGTAAATACAAGCATTGCCGTAAATACGCGTGGCCATAACAACGCACCCCTCCTTCCTTCGCACATCGCTTGGTACCAACGCCTCGCCTACGTAAATTGAGCTTAGTATTTCCTGATCTTCGCACATCTCTGTGATTATTTTAGGGATGGATAAATACAAATTTATTAGTTGTGTGTTTATGTGAACCAATTTGGAACAAAAACAGCAAAAGCCCTGAAAAGCACTGAAAATATAATGATAAAATATAATCAAACGTATTTGTCCTCGTTCTCATGTATTCAAAAAAGCGTTGAGAATATTTTTTAAGTTCTTTATAAAGGTGGTGAAATTCGCCATAGTAAATTCGCTTCTCATTTAGAGAATGCACCGCCATTTTTGTTTGTTCTCTACATAACCGCCTTGTCTTAAAATTAGAATTTAAAACAATGCTTTCTTCGTCCGATGAAGAGGATGACGACGACATGATTAAAAAAAACAGAATAAATGTGCGGTGCACGGTGCACAGTGCGTCAATACGGCCACTATTGTGCAAAGCAAAGGCTAGCTAGGTGCGGGGTATGGTGCTGTGCAATGTACTACGCGATGTGCGGTGCGCCGTTGTGGCTTGTGGCCGACCCCTTAGCAAAACGAATGTCCACAATAGACATAAATGCTGGTTTGACACTGTTTTAGTGTAGTTTTTCTTTGGATAATCTTTGAAAAACCTCTTGTGATGAAATCTGAAAACCCAGCTATTTGTTATCTATTTTGGGAATTCAATTTCTTGAACAATTTTCTTTCATTTTGAGTGAATGTTTTAAAAATGGCAGCTCAATTATTCTTTGAACAGTTTTTTACTAAACATTGTGACAATTATTCAAGCTTTAATACATAGTTATAAAAGTGTTTTCAGATAATGTAAATTAAAAACAAAGTTTTTTAAAAAACCTATTTAAATTTACCTGGTACAAAACTGACATGAATAGTCCTCCTTAAAGTAACACCCTGTAATTTTAATCTTCTGATTGCTTCCAAATATTGAATTCCTACACACTTCATGTCCTGAGATCCTCTTGCATAAATATTACCCTTATCATCTACGTGGGCGCTGAAAGGCTTGTACGTCCATTTCTCCTAAAATTAAAAAAAGGGGAACTTCAGTTTTTAAGTCTCATAATTTACAATACATTAGTTACGTAAATAGAATATGTGACCAGTGCAATTACCAAAAAACACGCTATAAACGACATAATAAATAACCCAAAGACATAATTAATAACACAAAAAAAATGAATGGTGATAATAAAACCAGAAAGAATCAACTTAACAATAAGTTGGCATGTATTTAAATTATACATGGCAAAAACAGTTGAGAAAGTAAATCAATAGTAGAATGGCTAGAATTCAAGATATTTCGTATATTTGGTGTTCTTCATATTGCATAAAAGCCAGGATATTAACCTATATAGTGTTACAGAAAATCTAGACATTTTATATGTGTTAATATGTTTTCAATTGAAGCATATAAATGCAAAACCAAACATTTGACATTTTTTTTTAAAATGAATTGATGAAAATTTATAGGAATCCCATTTTCTGACCTTAGAATAAACAGACATTAGAATGGCATTATTCACAGTTTAAATTTAGTCTTAAATGCAAAAGCAGACATTAGTGGACACTCTTTAAGTGCAAGAGCAAACATTTGTCTTAAACCAATCAGGATGCGACTTCTTGGTCACGTGCCGTTGTGTTTGCGCTGGTTGTTATTAGATTCTTATTTCATTCGTACTTCGTACTCAAAATAAGACCAAACGTGGTACACATAGGTTATGCATTCGTGCTCATGAAAATAAACAATTAAGCATTTTGAATTAACCACAAATATTAACATTATTATTGAACCAAGTCCATCTAGTAAAGGGAGAAAAAAACTGGTTAATAAGGAACAGTGGAAACAAAAAATACCAAAAAAATCAAAGGTATGTTCACATTACAGTTTTTGTTTAATAACTGGTCGAACCATTTTACTTTTCTAGGTATTCTCGGCGGTGCCTTCCTAAATTTCCCAGGTACGGTTATAACACTAAAGTTAATCAATGTTCCTAGTTTACAATGACCGATATCAGAAAATCCAACAAAAGCTTTTATAGCAAACCATCGAAATCCTATCAAGACCTGTTTGTATTGAAGCAGTGCGTGACAAATAAACCGAAAAGACGGGGTACCAAAATTAAAGAAAACATGCTAAATAAATCAAAAACAGTTAGTGTGAATTACACCATCAACACTTCTGGAGGAATAATTCCTGTTTGTAAAAAGAAATTCGAAGCGATACTGAGTATTGGAAAAAACTGAAATGAAAGAATATTAAAGGAGTAACACGAAACAGGAGTTATGCCAACAGAAAGAAGTGACAGAATTTGACAAAAATCAATTTGGAAAAAAAATGTAACAAATTTCATTGAATCTATTATTTACTGGAAAACTCATAGGAATAAAACAGGAATAAAACAGTTGTTAGACGACATTTGCCTCGTAAACTAAATATATCGAAACTGTGAAAGATGTATAATTTTAGAACGGAGGAACATCCTAAAGGTTAGAAGCGCTTCTTCAGAAATATTTTTGTACGACAATACATTGGTTTTGGACGACCAAAAATTGATGCATGTTCACAATGTCTCCAATTTTCAAAAAAAAAAAAAGAAAAAAAATCACAAACCCACATGAAAAAATATGGATAATAATAGACCAGTACGTACACAAACCGCGTAGTAAAGCGTTTTATGAGAAGTCGTAGTAGTATGAGTAAGTAAAGTGCTTATGTAGAACTCTGCGCTTAGGTAATCGGTCAAAGGATTTAGAGAAATCTAGATAAACAACTTCGATCAGCTGCGAACCGGCTGTTAAGGGATGACGTCCAGTCGTTAACACAATGTAGGAGATTTGGTTAGAGTAAAACGACTAGAGATAAATCCATGTTATGTTGGAATAACATGTTCCAGGAGAAGGAATTTGGTGAATCTCCTCGGAAATAATGGCTTCCATGACTTTGCCAACTACTGCACGTAGGGTACTGCACCATTCAAACCAGGTGAAGCGGCTGTGCGAAGTTTAATGAAGTGTTGCTTGACATGATTCACTGTGAATTCAACTTGCTGTAAGGATGCGCCGACACGATTATAGTTAATAGCAGGTAGATAGTCATCATTCGATTCTTTAGTAAAAATCTGTGAAAATGCTAAAGAGTTTCCGAAGATTATTTGTCAGAAGAGCGTAAAGTCTGGTTGGATTTTTGAAGTAGAAGAATGTAAATTTTAGACGTCAAGGAGGAACGTATGTATTTGTAGACTTTTTTAATGTTACCACTTTCAATACAACTTGCTTCAAAATGTTATCTTGAGAGTTTTTAGAGATGTATGAAAGTTATTTAAAAATCTGCGGTGGTTTTGGAAATCACTGAGAAACCTGATGTATTTAAATTTCCGCCATATATGTCGTTTGTGATTAATTTGTTTTATTACTGTTCGATTTATCCAGGGTTTAAGGTTGCTTTGATAAATCTTACGGAAGATGGTATTTATAGAAATTATATTGTCGATGGTATCGAGAAATGCAAAAAATAAATGGCAATCGATTTGAGAGAGTTCAGAGTTAACTTCAGGAAAGTCGGTAATAGAATACGTTACAATATTATTTTTGCGGGATAGTATTTGATTGAACTGGATATGAGCCGTTATAACTGCAGGATCTGACTTTCCTATAGGAGAACTGACTTCGAGAGATGAAATCAGTTGTTCTTTGTTAATCAGCACTAGGTCTAAAGTAGAAAGTTGGTTATTAATTCGAAATCTAGTCGGTGCTGTGATGAGTTCGAATTTACTACAAAGCTTTTGAACAAATTATGAGCGTTTTCTGCGTCAGATAAACAAGTTATTGGCCAGGTGATCTCTGGAAATTTAAAATCTCCGGTAATGATAACATTATCAAGAGATGATAGTTCTTCAAGTTTTGTAAAGAAAACATTATCGTGTACAAGTAGTGTAACAGGTGGATATATACATACTAAATTAAGGCAAAAAGAATTTTTAGTAACGGAGAAGTGAAATGCATCTATTCCAGGAATATCTAATAGCTTAATGTTAATTTTAAAAGTTGTGGTAATAATATTAAATAAATAAATTCATACATCTCCACCCACACGATTTTCTCTGTCTTTACGATATACTCTGCATACTAATTTCTATTAATTAAGTGAGTAGTCAGGAATTGAACCAGAATTAGATAATACAAATAATGTCCAGTTCAAGAAGTTGCAGTGTGCATATAAATTCGTCAAACCTAGCGGAAAGTGAATCTAAATCAGTATGTAGAAATAGCCAGTCATTACATTTGTCGGTAGAGAAGTTATAAACGAAATTTTGTGATTCGGAGTGTCATTAATATATGTAATAGTTAAATCATGTTCACCGTTATTTTTGCGAGTTTCCAGTTCGCTTCGGAGTTATTTTAACGTACTTGTTGGATGGGCTTTGTCTTCCAAAAGTTTTGCGTTATTTCTCAGATTTTCTTTCACGTGGTATTCCGTGCCCATTACTATATCATTCGGGAAAATCGTTCCTTCGCTTTGACTCTGTAAAAGGTGATTTGCTTTTCTCGGCAGCCAACAGTTTCCAAGACAAGGTTAACCTTATTTGCGTCGTCATCTTTTCTGCGTTTTATATGACCTTCTTTGCCATTTTCACGAGACACGTTTTGATTCTCAGTTTTATTGGTTCGTCTATCTCCTGTCAATGCGTTCCTTAAGTCTTGTGTTATTTATATAGCGGTATACCTTGTACAATTGCGTTGTTGGCTTTTTCTCTTTTTCCAGCCTATCTAATCACATTTTTGTCTCATGTAATTCTTTCTCAATTTGTTATTTTCCTTTTGCAATTTGGAGATAAAATTAGTACATTTAACACAAGTTACGTGATAATTGTTAATAAGATAACACCATATTTCCTTTTACTTGGTAATAAATCGTTATGTTTATTGTTGTATTAAGTATTAAATTCTCTAAACAGAAAATTGTTGTGTGCCCTTGAATTTTAATTAAGATTATGAAGTAGCTTTATTTAAATATATCTTTTACATATTAAATGTATGTCGACACCTGATCACAAAATATATTTTATAAATTTTTAGTACTACATAATATTCCCATAAAACGAGTATATAGAGAATATTTTTACTTTTATTTAAGCTGTAGAGATAACCGCGAAAAAATTTGCAACAAATAAAGGCACTAGAATGTAACAGAAAACAGTAAATATAATTCCAACTATCAATACCGTAACAAAAGTCATAATACGAAAAATCTTAACATTAAATAAAATCAAACTGATTTTAGATGTTACAGAAAGGAACAAAAATATAAACGATCTGGAAAAAACGGTATCGATAAAGGAGATGCTGGTTGGTGTTACACGAATTGATCAGGATAGCTAAGACATTAGAGTTTTTGACGATTAGGTGGAAGAAAATTTAGAAAATGAAAAATTAGAAAATGCCTTAAAAAGTACGGAAAAAAGAACACATGTTAAATTTACAACTAAAAACTAAAGAAGAAAATAACTGCAGTTACTGTAAAAATAAAATTTAATAATTTCATTTCAAAAATTCACAATAATTAAAGGATTAATGATATACCGATCAGAAGTTGAAAAAATATTTAATTGAAAAACCATTAAAGTTACTTAAAAAAAGTTTATAATCTAATAATAAAAAGCTAGGACGACAAGTCACACTGTTTGTCCTGTTAAGTAACTCCTAGCGCCACCTAGGAAAGAAATCTGAACTACCAACTGACATTTCAACCTTAATCAATCTGTCATCGTTGTATATTTGAATCGCTTATTTATGAAAGGCCCTTCAAATTTTCGTTTAACTCAGAAAATGATAACCCATATGCTCGCGCAACGTTGGCTCATGAAAAGCCTTATGTTTTGATATTCCTTTACTAGATATTTTAGTTTAAAATTATTGTTTATTTATGAAAGATCTCATGCCATTGCCAGTGGCTTTTCATAAATAAAAGCACTATTGGCAACATTGTGCGTCCAGCTGATTGTTGACAGATATTTACTGTT